GAATCCTGCCCCGATCCTTCTTTACTGTTCATCCTACACAGCCCTGCACAGTTCAAGGAAGGGAGGGCCTCATTCAGCAAGTACCGTCAGCAAGTGACAGATGTCAGGGCCCAGTCAGATCTCCAGGCAACCACCAAAGCAACGTCCCTAAATGTTCTACATGTTCTGATAAGGAAGTGAAAGGTAACGGTGGCTATTACTTTAAGACACAACTATCCCCAAGTTAGCATTCTGAATAAAAGCCATCATTGCTCTGCTACCGGGAACTCTGAGGCCCAAGAAGTAAAAAGCATTTCTCTGTATATGGAGGTCTCCTGCGTACATATAGCAATGTGCAATTCCCATAAATATACTGGTCAATGAGGGGGCGGCAAAAACTTTGTGGGAAATGGAATTAAAAGATAATGTTCATTTTCCATGGACTTTATGGAAGCCCCTGCATGTAAGAGGAAAAACAAACTGTCAATTATGACAAGTCATAAAGCATTAGCCCTGCAAGCTACCAAGAGTGCTAACCTGAGCGAAGGAATTACAGGGGTGTGTGGGGGGTGCTTTCTCCCAATCATCTATAGTTCTAATTTTCTAATATAAACAATGCTCTGGTACCAAGATTAAAAATTACCTAAGGCTGTTTATTATCTAGGAGTCTGTGGTTACCAGTAGGCCTGGTAACCTGAAAAGTTAACAATTCAAAACCACCAGCCACTGTGTGGAGAAAGATAGGGTTTTCTACTCCCGTAAACAGTTACAGTCTCAGAAACTCACAGGGGCAGTTCTACCCTGTCCTATAGGATCCATATGAGCCAGCATTGACATGATGGCAGTAAGTTAGATGGGAGTTTTTCTGGCTTATTATCTACTAGAAATTCATTACATTTGGGGCAAGAAACTCTGTTAGGGGACTTGTTCATCAGGATCTTTGTTTAACTCAAGAATTTCCCTGTCTCACCTAAAATCACTGCCAACCAGAACGAACCACGACCCTGAGTCCCTCTTTTACCCCTCTCACACAGACATTACAGATTTTTCCATAACAGAAAATGTAAGAAATCCTTACTGTTCATTTTCTCCAATCTCCCCATGATACCAACTTACTCTCCGGACAGTTAAAGGGAAGGTTGGAGATTGTTTTTAAAAATCACAACTCTTGCACAGAAAGATTTCAGACTCAGAAGAGTGGCTCACGGAAAAAGGAAAAACCCAGAAACACTATAACCCTAGCTTTTTCCTTATCACAAGCAGAATGCTAAGAGCCCTGGGGGCGTAGTGGGTCATGAACTGGGCTGCTAAACACAAGGTCAGCAGTTCGAAACCACCAGCCACTCTGTAGGAAAAGGATATGGGGCCTTCTACTCCCTTCAAGCCTCGGGGAGCCACAGGTGCAGTTCTACCCTATCCTATAGGGCAGGACTGGTCCCATTCAAGCCCCATTAGGTAAACGCTCTCTACAATCAGCACTGTGACAGGTGCTCCTTCACCTCTAGACAAGAGATGTGCTCCCTATGCCTTGCAGGGAGTTTCCCAAACTCTTACGTTTGGGAAACAGTTACAAAATGTAACAAAACGCGCCCTGGAAGAATGAGAAGCGAGCAGTTAGGAAGTTTGAAGTTTTAGATATGTCCAAGACTGCTGAGCACGTAATAAAAAGCGGTGGGAGGGCTCTGACTTCCCAACACAAGTATCAGAAGTCCGTCCTCCTGTGTGTCCTCTCCGATCCTTCGGACTAAAATAAACCTGAGCTAAACTACTTAAGAAGGGTGCTGGCAAACTCACCAACATCAGCAAGTCCGAGCTAGGCATCTTCCTCTTCCGGCCTTGCCGCTGCAAAAGGGAATCAGGATTGTGTACTTCTAAAGCTTTAAACTCTCGCTTCGGCCCGCGTAGACCTGCCAGAGTAGTCAAGAAATGGTTCTTGTTGCCTTTTGAGATCTCAGATTACACTCCCAGATATCAAACCCCACCCCTAGTCCGCCATCCCAGCGAATCAGGATGAGGCTGGTGCTGAACTTCCCGCCCCCAGGAGACCACACAAATCCAGACCCAGGATCCCCACAAAGGTTCCCACCCAGGTAAATACCCAGAAAACGCCCAGGATGCCTGAGCCCGGC